CTTGCTGTCTACTATTCTACCTTTCTTCGAGATAAGGTTTGTAGATTTCTTGGGCTTGAATGTTAATTCCACCCAAGTAGCAAGTTCTTCCAACCGAGAAAGAACCCATCTCATCTCAATTTCTTGGCATATCATGGCTGTTATGTCGTCCATGAAAGCTCTGCAAGGTGGATGGCGTGTTCCATCAGATGCTACTGGACCCCTGCATTCCTTTGCTGCATCAGTAAGCAAGATATTCATGGCTGCGACAGGAACTGATAGATAGATAGATTTTGCGTAAAATAATTCTGCATGCTGTATAGAGATTTCTTTGAAAAATAAATTTAGATAACGCTTAAATATTGCCCCTTGCTGAAATCCTCCATAACATAAGCTCCACGCAAACGACTTGCTTTAAAACTAGGAATCAGTAGAACAATATGAATAGTCAAGGTTCCAAGTATTAAATGGTTTTCAACAGGACATATATCTGAATTTTCTGGGGTTTTGCTTAACACTGGAATGCCACTAGCCCACCCTACATAGAGCACATGTGTACAAAATATTAACAAAATCGGGCCAACGGTTTTGAGTTATCACCCACGTACGTGCGTCAATGTTCTCTTTTGGACTACTGAGAAGTAAAGAAATCAATGAACCAATCTATAATGACTATGGGCCACTTCATAGTAATCTACCCCAACATAGGTTTATGGGATTTTGTGGAGTTTTGGCTCACATTAAACCAGACTTATTGATACACGGGATGGATAAAAAAAACTGATAAGCCTTACATACTAACATAGTGCAGTAGTCTAGCGTGTATCATGGAACAAGGACTCTCTGGACAGTGTGTTTCTATAGACCTAGTGGTGTGTACTTGTATGTCTATACGGAATATACCAATGAGTTATAACTCGCCAAATATGGCGGTAACCAATACAATACAATACAATACAATACAATACAATACAAATGCGACAACTCCAATATTTCAGTGTTATGATGAGATTGACACCTTTCTGAGAATCTGGTACACATGATACCGTCATCTAAATATATAGGTATTTCAAATGACTGATGGAAAACACTGATGAACTGGCCTTGGACAATACCTTCAGGGAAAAAACTAACTGTTAATAATGAATTAACTCAAGGGACTCACTCGTGTCGAACTCACAACTCCATGGTTACGGTGACAGCGCCAAATACTTCGTAAAGTTAGTAGTAGCCATCGATGTAATGATATCATGGTAAGAGAACAATAGACTTCCCACTTTGAGGTTCATCAAACGGAGTTTCTGTTATTGCCCCTATGCTAATTAATGACCGAACTATAATTGGACATACTAATGGCGTTTTTTGTTTGTTTCAGACAGAATGGCAGAGCATCTATCATGCCATCGTCCTATGGGACGTGGGGACACGGATGTTTACCAATTTGCATCCATACTTATTAAACCTCTCATAAATTCTAAGCATCAAAATCATCCATTCGAATTTCGGACGTATTCGATTGATTTCAAACATAAGAAATTAAGATAGACAGAGTAAAATGAAAAATTCGTCTAGTTTTAGTGCAGGCTTGTAAGCCAACGTCATGCACAAACCAATCCTAATTACATTCAGAACGTTAGACCCTTATCACAGTGATCGATCGGTCTGAGAACATTCACAGCATTAATAATCTCTTCCGTATGATCCTCTATTTCATTACTCTAACTGTCAGGAGTTAGAGCGTTAGATTCCGAGAGATCTTCGGAAGAGATTTTTTGGAATTTTATTATTGTTTAACTTATAAAATTCAACTATATGTCAGAGATCATTTAAACAAAAACAAACCTCTAAACTCGATCATCCTGGGAATTTATCACAAAGCAATATCCTAATTACACCAAAATACCATCGCTTTGAATTAATGCTCATAGCATCAAGAAAAACATAATTTTTCTGACACATGTCTCATTTGCCGATCGCGAAGAAGTCAATTTGTTAATGGAATTAAAGTGGACACAAGTTCCCTTGGTTTAGTTCAAAAGCTGAATTGGTTTGATATAACGGCAAAACACAAGTGGATCGCGTTTTCATGACACATGCAGCCCCGGCCAGCAGCCTACATTAATAGACTAGGTGCGAGTAAAAATAATAGTACAATAACGTCATTTCAAAGGGCAATATAGTGAAATATTGGACCAAGGGCCGCAGGCCCAAGGTCCAATATTTCACTATTTTGCCCACATTCAGTCAATCGGATGTCATATTTAAAATCTACGTGTAAAAGTACTTCTAGAAATATGGTTTCGAAAATTGTTTATCAACTTTGAAAACTAAATTTGTTTTGAAAATGGGACTTCTAGTTCGGGTTGATTCATGTTACAAAATCACAAATAGTGAAATATCTTTTCTTGTATTGGACAGATAAAATTTACCTTTACTGGACATATTTTAATCTTCATAACTATTAGATACATAATGGTTATATGAAAATTGAACCACTAAAACAGATGCAGAAATGACGTTATTAGTATTATCACCACCGTTAACGACCAGGGCTGAAATAGCAAGAAAAGCTTACGCACTGAACGATATCTAATTTCCCGGGGAAAAATTGCCGGTCCAGAATATATTCTAGACCGGTCCATATGGAGTATTTGTTGCTCTCAAAATTTTCAGTTTTTAGGTCACGCAATATACTTATAGCATTTTGCCTTATTTCAAAGAGCCCCTATTCTTGATATCTATTAAGCTTCTGCTATGAAAAAGTATTACTTTTCAAACATTATCGAACGTATTTTGTATACCATGATAACGTGATTCAAAGAGTCACAAAAATGTTTTTGTGTCTATGCCATTGCAGTTTTGGAACGTTAACTAAGACAATAATGTGCACAAAAAGAAATATTTTAGTTTTACAGCCATCAAGTGTCTCTAGGACATTTTACCACACCAGTCAGTCATTATAGCAAGCTCCGTCTTGACACAACAATGCAGGGGTTTATTAGTTTGTTACAATCAAATTCAATTGTTTGTGACTGCTGCTCTATGCAGTTATCTAATCAATACAGGACTAAAACGTCACGCAATATCTTGTGAGATTAAGTAAGATTAATCCATGTCGTTTTAAGTAGTATCTAATACCCTTCGCAAGAACTTTATCTGCATTAGTGATAAGTCTTTAATCTAGCATGGCCATAAAATTGCAACACTAACTTTGTCAATTTGAATAGCTCGCATTTTGATTTAAAGTTCCCGTGCAAAGTTTGAAAATATGTTCATATGATTCATTTACTATTTTTCAAAAAAAATACTTAAAGGTTTTTCATAGAATACATTTTTCTCCAAACCACTTTCATCCACTTCCAGCTGTGTCACATTCTATCATGAAATTGTAAAGGACACCTGACACATTCAAAGCATGGTACAATTTACATATCATGCTGCATGCTGAGTGACGGCGCTGGAAAAACCCAGTGGCGAAAAGGTGCGTTATCAGAGGAAACGTGACCCAGAGTGACAAGTTTTTCATTGGCCTAATGCACTGTAATAAAATCACTGAATATGACAAAAATGAATAACAATAATCAGCCATAATTAAGATGGCATCAAATACATCTAGAAAGACTGTAGGCGGCCAAAAATTTAACAGCTTGACAATCTTTGAAATAACGTTAAAAGTTCAATTGTTCAAGCAAAAACCTGTATTTTATTTATTGACAGTGGCGTCTTTTTGAAAAAGAGCCTATATTAAAATCATAAAGTTAGGAATTTCGTTAAAATAATTGTTTTCCATGTTGGAAATTGTCTCCGGAATTTCAATAAGAATGGTTATTATTTTGGAAATATAGAGTAAAAACACGACTGCATCATCCAACCCTGTCCGGGGTACTAATACTTATTTTCACAAAAATGCAAGAAAATACTACGTTTCTTTAGGCGTATATGAAGCAACAAAGACATCCGATAAAACACACCCAAGCCAGAAAAATATTAATATTAAAAGGATATAAGTGAGTTCATATGAGTTCATGTCAATACAAGCAGAAGCAGTAAATTACACAGTGTCAATCAATGCCAACGTAACGTGTACATCTCGATTAAATGGCTGGCTAGCATGGGTTCCAAAGCACCCAAGCATCTGTTCACAAAATAAAGTGGATATTACGCGCGTAATTGGTATTGAGACTGAGGTATGAAGAAATACTATTAGAAGTTGTAATAAGGTACCTGGAAAAACCAACTGATCCCTGGGGGTCAGAATATTGCAGATTTACTTAAAGATTCTCCTTTAAACCCGCAGCTTACCCTCCCCCTTGTCCAAAATTACACACGTCTCCGATGTGAGTTTTTAAAATAAAATTACGCGTATGAACATCAGTGTAAAAAACGCTTAATATGTTTTTGGTCAGCCTTGGTGCTTTAAATGTGTTATCCTCTTATCAGTCAGTAATCAGATTCCATCTCGGATCAGTAGCATAACTATTTTCAGGGTGGCACTGTGATTTGCATTCCTATATTACAGATTGGGCCAATAAAATTGATGCATATGACTTGGTCTAGGGCTACGCCTCACGTCATTCATTTAATTTGTTATGTTCACACCTTCACATATGTCATAAGGGTGAAACGTGGAGATGATTTGAAAATAATTCATAAAGAAAATTTCCTTGAATTCAAATTGTCCATATATGGCATTAGTGATCCTGATTTTATGGCAAAACAAAAAAGAGGATATACTAGTATAGGGGATCCAAGTGACACGTTACTGGCCAACACTGTACGCCGTAGGGTCTATGGTTTGATATTGAAGGCATCGGGTATTCCAACCCCATCAGTCACTCACTTGATTAAATCCCTCGAGGCCCTTTACTCCTTAATACGTAACATCCGACAATTGATATGGATTGGGGAAGTTTGATTCATTATGTAAAAGTCATTATAACAAACTGTATTTAGGATATTTAGGCTAATAAACAACGCAATACATCTAGTCTCTAAGTAATTGACATGCTTAAATAACTTACCGTTTTTCCCACTCCTCTCGCCTATCTGCTTACTAAAGTACAATTAATTATGATATTCACGTTCCTTTTGAACATCCAAATCTGGTCGGAATATTCCCTGTTAACTATAAGCTATCAATATGCAATCCTAAATCATCTTGGTGATTATCCTTTTTGATTTTCCTATATGAATATCAATATGCATATGTGTTCTAGAAAATCTGGCACGGAATCTAGAGATCGAGTTAAAACGCCGTATTTGATCAATTATGTTGAGGTATGTTGCAGTGTTTCTCGATGCAGGCCGTCTATCTACAGGCAGTGTAATGTTTCTAATCTCAATGTTCTTGTAGTTTCGTATGAATTATTCGCTGATCCGTTGGATTCCCGAGATGTTTACGAGCGCATAATGTAGCGATACATTCAGATGGACTGGCAAAGTAAAGTGACTAGCGACTGGGACATCTCAGTATTAGGAATGTGATGTGATTCCAATATGACAAGCTTAGGTGAATGTCATTATTTAAACATCGGAAACTCAAGGTGATATCATGTATGCAAAGGAAAACGCATGTTGATCTCATTATTAGAAACTGAATATTAGTGTTTCGTAAAGAAATACTGAATAGAGTTCACCAATTTTTTTAAAAATGCCTTAGTTAAAGAGGGACATGGGGTATAAATAGGAGGCAGACAAATGGAACAGCCAAAATAACTATATTTTTGATATTTTCACAAAGCTGGTCAATTTTCTCATATTTCATATTGATTGAGAAGATTGTGGGATGGTATTGCTAGAATCCATTTTCAATGGCAAGAATATGGGTTCTTATACAGGACATTGGGTTTGCTTTAGAACTTTTTGTTGGATCTCAGAGCTAGAACGTGCAGTCATGTGCAGTGGGTCTCAAGAAAACGGAACAAACAAAAAACATTGTAAAACCAGTGATAATTACATCAGTTTCATTCAGTATGTCATAAACCATACCAATACCATAAGCCAAGTTTGTCCTCTTTCAAATAATGTCATTTCTTCATGTGTGATCATGGACCTCTGAATAATCATTGCTTTTGCTTGCATGAGTGAAAAGGCATTTGTACCAGGTTATGAAATCCCCATGAATCAACTAATCCTCATTGAGCAATCCGGTAAATCATAATTGGGGCTGAGGATTAAACGGTAACAAGACTTACATAACATAATTTTCAGACTTAGTTTTACTTAGCAAAGATTTCACTTTACGTGTTCATCATCCATTGTGATTTAGTTTACAATAAACCGGAGGGTTTTTGTGGTGAGTGAGTACATTCTTAATCCTGGTCATGTAAGGGGGGCATGGAATGTTACCTTTCATGAATAATTATTCATCAGATGACAGACCATGTTATGAACACTAAATTGTTTGTCTCTTGTTTTCCCAATAGCTACTGGTCATATGAATTGAGATTTGCAATTAGTAGACCAAACTAGGGTGATATAAATGCCCATCTCTGAACTAAGGTAAGAATACACCATTGGGAAGCTGTAAAGGACAGCTTTAAGAACCTGACCTCCATTTGAATTTTTAGTGAATGTAAAATTAGATATTAACCCTTTCATTCCCAAGGGAACATTTATTAATTTTATGAAAATCAATTTCAAAATGACAAGTACCCCTATGGCCAGAATGGATTATTTTTAGGTTTACAATAACTACTTTAATGTAAAATTATAATTTAGAGAACATTTCAGAGTTTGAACCAAGATAGGCTGAGATAGGGGTCATTAAGTGCAGTGACCCCGTTATGCTTCAAAATGCCTCAGATTTTTTTTGTTTTCGGTCGAAATAACATATGACAAAACTGTACCGTTCCAATACACCGTTGAGAAGCTAAAGGGGTCACCTTTAAGAATCCGACCTCAATTTGAATTTTAAGTGAATGCAAAATTATAATTACCCTTTCATCCCCAGGGTGTCATTTATTAATTTTATGAAAATCAATTTTTAAATGACAAGTACTGGCCAGAATGGATTATTTTTAGGGTTAAATAACTACTTTGGAGAATATTTAAGAGTTTGAAGCCAGATAGGCTGAGATAGGGGTCATTAAGTGCACTGACCCCAAAATGCTACAAAATGCGTTAGAATCTTTTATTTTCAGTAGAAATGAGATTTGATATTTGAAAATAATATGTACTTTAATGTGTAATTTGGGTATTTAGGAATGTAGAATAAAAATCATTTTCTCCTGAGAACATTAAGATTGCACCAAGCGTGTATTGACTTAACATGAATATGCACCTTTATCCCATACTTAGACGTGTTACGGGTACATAAAGCCGGTTTGTAAAAACTTATATTTTCATCAGCGGGCAGATATAGCTTTACGTCCCGCTCTGAGCGGGCAGATATAGTATATCTGCCCGCTACGTCATAATTGCTGTTCCCGCATTGTTTTTTTTGTAACGTTCGCATACTGTAAACGACAATGGAGAAAAACGCAGACAATCGCGATCTGTTTGATACTTTAAATAATCAAAGATTTGAACAGGAAAATCCGGCTACGGACAAGAATACAAAACTGAACATGAATATTTTAAAATAATTCCACGGTTGGTTGCAAAGTTTCTGAACTTTGGCCAATTGAACAATGTGATTGGTATGGGATAAACAGATCATCCTATAGTCGGTTCAGGATATTGGGATTATCCCTTGGCCAATATAATATATCTACCCTCGGGACCTACGGCCCTCGGGCAGATATATTATATTGGCCTCGGGATAATCCCAATATCCTGAACCTCATATAGGATAATCTCTATTTATGCACCTTTATGCACCTTTAACATAGGGTACCATCATATCCATTTGACCTAATTTTATCTTTTTAAATATACCCTTATATGTTTACTTGTTAATGATACAATTAATTCCAAAGGAGCACTACACACAATCTAAACAAGTGGTTTGGGTGTTTGACTTCATATCAAGGTTAAGTGGAATCCATCAAGCCAAATATTTGACCTTTGACCTCTATTGTCACAAATATTTACTCAAACAGCATCTTTTTATATCACTCTGATGTAGAATTCCATCTCAAACATGTATACTATCTAATATGGAGTGATTCCAATGAATAGTTTCCTAGACATAACAGTCCATATAGGCATTTTGAAACCATTTTAATACAACCACAATCCCACTTTGAAACCATATAATTTTAATACAACCACAATCCCACTTTGAAACCATATAATTTTAATACAACCACAAACCCACCCTCATAGAAACTAGGGATAGAAGCAAAGTTACATAACTGATCATGGAGAGTGACACAAATATATCCGTTGCAATTTAAGCACATTCCCTTGTTTAATATGAGAAATCAATGAAAATTTATTTATTTTATTATTAATACAAATAACAGAATAGTACAATAATTAAAACAATTCAGATATTTTTCACACCACCTCCATTCATTCAGACATTTGCAGCAGTCATACTTTTAAGTCCTAGTACATATAAAAACATATATTTTTCAAATTGCGCCTCATACAAATTGTGATTCACCTCGTCGAACTCTTTTGTGTAAATATAATATTAAATGGCAAGGGTTTATTTGGTAAGACATTTTTCTCATTAGCATGCCTTCCAAAAAAACATGTCATGGGCATTAAAAACAAAAAATCAACTTTGAATAAACGCTGAAAATTTATGATGTAAAAAGAAACTTGTCATTGTTTCCATGGATAGTTGGCTGGTAATTTCAAAAATGTAATCTTAACCACAAATGTAAACATCATTAGTACATACTGTTGTGTGGCATAGAGCACAAACCTTGTTGTTATGGACATTTAGATTGAAAATAGAAAGCGATTGTCAAAATAGATTTGATTGAAAAAATCATGATTGATTTCTTGATTTTACCCTTTTTGGTGATGAAAGGGTTAATATCTAGTTTTGCATTCAGCAAAAATTCAAATTGAGGTTAGATTATTAAAGCTGACACTCTCAGCTTTTCAACGGTTTAATTGAACCTTAGTGCAGAAGAGGTAATTTAAAAAACACTAAGGAGGCTCTATTTTGCTCAAGTAAATGTCTAAAACTTGCATCCTTCTTCAAAGGCCTTCATTTATGCTTAAATTCAGAAGAAGTGAAATACCCTTGGACCAAGGACGAAAACTTGGTCCAGAGCAGACTTTGGCCCATTTGTGCAAAAGGAATGATTATTCAGTGATCCTTGAATGAATGAATGACATGCATGCCATTGGAAAGAGGAACCACGTGGCTTCATGGTAAACCAAAGGAAATTGATGTAGTCATCACTGATTTTATTTTTACAATGATTTTACTTGTTGCGTTTGAGACAAACTGTAGAATTAAACATTTGAAGTGATGGCACCTCGTCATTGATAATTGGATGTGACGTCATTTATAATATCATTTATCTTCAATCTGAATATCATCTCATTTGGATACCAAAACTCCAGGTGATATTATTAAGATATCAGAAATTCAAGTGACCCCACTTGGAGAAACATCAAGCCAATACACTGGTAATGTACTCTTCAAACTAGTTACCGAAACGGATCCGTTCCGTTGTTACGTTGACGATCTTCATGAATATTGTCACATTGGCAATATTCATGAAGATCGTAACAATAGAGCGTAACAAAAGCGAGGGACTAAATCGCCAATATACCAAACATAGAACCGCCTGCATATTCTCAAACTAGACTATCTTCCTTTACTTTGAGCCAAATTATTGTCCACAACTTGACTTATAAGTTATAGAATCGAGAAATAAAAATATCTTACCGAAAACGAAGCCCGGAAGTTCTTCCATCTTGTTACGCTGACGTATCGTCAGCGTAACTAGGTGAGTACCAGTGATAGTGTTCACTTTCGTATGATGCTACCTTTGATAAATATTCGATCTATGTTATGTCACTAACCGTATAATCAAAGAAATATTATATACAATTGCTTATTATTTAAAAAATCCCTGGATTAATAGAAAAGTCAATATCTCACCTCCACAATGCACCAATTTACAAAGCAAAGAGAGTAAACCCTTTAATGGAGTGTCTTGGCATTTTATATAATGTCCCATATTCACCATATCAGCCCATAAACTTGAACCTTAATGAACATCTGAAAGCAATTGTTAGAAGTTCAACATGCAAATGAGACAAGGCTGAAAGCCAATATTATCAGCAATCTGAGAGATGGACAGCGGTTTTGCCAGGAAAAAGCAGCAAAAAGATCTATAAAACACGTTGATGTTGCTCCACATACCCCCGACTTCCCGTTACCATAACGACCAAAATATTTTCATATGTATGTTACGAAGAGTTGCAGGATATATTGTTTATAATGTCATTCTACAATCTGTGTAGCAATTTCATCTCACAACAGGTAATTAAATCTATTGAAATTAGAGCATTTATATCTTTACTTTCCGGACACCCTGTATAAATGGTATACATTATGCTATAC